GCATGTTTTGAAACCACTTACTGTTGACTGACTCACTAGAAGTCTATTCCAAGCATCAACTACTCTTTCATTAAAGCTGCCTGTCATTCAGTAACTGCCTGTCTGTACGACATACAGGCAGACAGCTATACTCACAGTCTGCAGGAGCCTGAGATTGCACCCACAATCCGCTGATTGCAGGTGGAATGTTTTACAGGCTCCTAATAAAAAAAATTATAAATGCACATATTTTTATCTGCAAAAGGATGTGAATTTATTTTTTTACAAAGGTTAACTTATCATTTAAATAATAATTACTAACTGAAGCTTCTGTTTGTTGTTTTTTAATTGCATTCCATAGTATGAATATCCTCTTTCCCCAGCCACCCCCATCTCTACAATTAAGTTCAATCAGGGCAAAAATGCATCAGTAGGTGTGGCTATGGTCGGGGACTGCTGGATTACAGACCCGGAAAAAAAGTGTTCTCCCAAGTATGTATCTGCTTGTTATATTGATACAACTGAGCAAGGCAGTGAAGATGGACACTTGCTGCCAACACCTGCAAATAAAGTGATCTATTCCTCAGCCTTAACTACACTGCTGTAAAAACCATCAGAGGCAGGAAATTTGAAAGGTTACCCAGTGCTGCAAATGCTAATGCAGCCTCTGGTACTTCAGCCCGACTGGCCTTACACACTAAGTGAGTTTTCAGATACAGGGTCACATTTGGGGCAGTACTACAGAACTGGACCATGAAAGTGTTCCTTGACTAACAGTACACTTTGGTCTGGAAAGAGCTACAATTTGTTTATTGGATTTTGACCGTATTAGATTGTGACCCTTGGGTCACAAACCAATAAGGTCCAATAACACATATCTTCATGGCTGCTATACAGAGACCAGCTCAATTAGCGATGTGGAAAGGAATCTTGACTGAGGAAAAATATTCCTCAAAGCAAAGGAGAAGGAGAGCAAAAAAAAAAAAAAAAAAATGATGTTTCATCAGTGATAACAGGACCACTAGTTAAACAAGGGCTGGACGATGGAGCTAATTATTTTTGGAAAACAATATGGTCTTTCACCAAAAAAAATTAGATATTGCATTATTTTGGTAACGCAAACAATACAGAGATTGTAAATCCATAAGCACATGACTGAATTGTAAAAAATTGCTCTGGTTCAAGAGGCTTACAAGGTGCGGGAGAGCTCAGGTGGTTAACATACAATTGTGCATAAATTGTGTTTTAGTAAAGCAAGTAAATGTTTTTTCAGCCTGAACTAGTTGTCCACATTTTTTCTTGGTTTTCTCTTCAGGGGTGTCATTAGGCCCAGGCAGTGGAGCGAGATGACCCCTGAGGATTCTTCCTTGGTGACAAATGCAGGAGTTTTCAAAGTAATTAATGAAATTGGGACACCAGTCTAATAAGAGCTCATCTGAGTTGCATTTTTTCTGAACGAGGTATGCCCAGTTTGTGCAATTTGTGGGCATAAGTGTAAACTTTTCAGCCTTTTAAATAATAAAGTAGTCCAACTTTAAAGCCTCAAGATTTCCCCAGAGATATCTTACTTAGTCTGAGTGACAAAATGAGTAAATCTTTTACCTTTAGAAATGGATTTCTGCTCTTCAGAGAAATTTTCCTCATTTATAAGTAGATTCTCTGCTGAAGCTGAGTGAAGTTTCAAAAAATTACTTATTGAATCTAAAGCCATTTTTTTTACAGGTTGCAACACTGTTGTTAAGGTCTGGATATCCTCGTTTCTCACTTTAAGAAAAAGTGATTCCATCTCTCTAATGTTGGCACGGAGTTGCTATAAGAAATATCAAACACATTTAGTCAGTTTTTATTTCACATACAATTTTTCTGCAAATAATGGAATGGAAACCATATATCTATTTTCGCATAGCAAGAACAGAATCTTAAGTAAAGCTTGCTAAAATCCTTACAGAGATCATAATTTGGAGAGGATCATATTTTTCCAACAATAAAGGTATTTCACTTTCGGTACAGTACTGCATATACTAGTATAAAAGAAAACCCAAAAAGCAATAAGGCAGCCAAGCTAATAGCATTAGTAAATGATAGTAATAGTGTCAATAGGAGCAGGGGTAGCAGTAACTACAAGACCTTATTGTGTTGTTTTACTAAAGGCAAACAGACTGTCCATAGTTACATACTGTAGTTGGTAAGACTGAATAAAGACACCAGTCCCTCCAGTTCAACATGTGTATGTGCTTATGTGATTACTATGTCCCATAACACTGCGTTCGCCAAGAAGCCCATCCATACGTTTTTTTAAGATGAACACACCCCTGCTGACACCACCATCAAGCACATCCTTGCCACTCTAGCAGAAAAGAACCCCTTTATACAGTTTAAGGTTAAACCGCTTCTTATCCAACCTCAATGAGTGGCCATGTGTCTTCTTAACCTCCTGGTGGTATGATTCTTTTCGATTTTTTGTGCTGAAAGCACACCATTTTTTTGCATGGAAATATGTAGATTTTTATTGTAGGCTGTAGTTAGTTGAATAACTCACTGAAATCTGTCCGAACAAGAGTCCATTAAACATTCCGGATATGATAAAATTTGAAACACCTCATAAATTTGACACCTTAATTAATAATCAAAAAAAAAATAATAATTATAATAATAAATTTAATTCAATAATATTAATCAAACCAAAAACACTGAAATTTTCTTAAATACAGAGGCAAATTTTTCTTCACATCGCTGAGTGGTAGAAGTCATGTTTTCATATGTGTTTTTTTCCCCACGATCATTATCACTCACACTGCAAGTGTTCTGATTTACTATCGCTGTTCTAAAACCACTTTTGACATAAAGGGGCGCTTTTTGGACGCCATAAGTTTTCTAAGTTTCCAGGCAGAAAGAACCTTCAAAATGCCAGGCTCACAGGACAAAGCAGTTGGGACAAAATGTATGTGAAATGCATTAAATAGCAATGACAGCAAAAATGACATTTTTTAAAAAATTCAAATTTCCCGCTCGGTAACCGGCGCCCGTACGTTCCCCTTACACAGTTTAAGGATGCCGGCTTATTGCCGGGGACCACTTCTAAGTATCTAGACTCAAAGAGTGTAGTGGCCATTGTGTCTTTTAAGAGTTTTCACCGCTAAGGAGGTTAGAACCCCGGAGAGAATAATTTTCTCCTGTGGTAGAAGAACCATTTAGATATTTGTATATTGCGATCATATCTCCTCTTCACCGTCTCCTCTCCAGGGAGAATAAGTTTAATGTTTGTAGTCATTCCTTGTAACTGAGGTCCTCTGGCCCCCTTATTAGCTTTGTTGCCCTTCTCTGTACTTTCCGCAATTCCAACACATCCTTCCCAAGGACTGGTGACCTGAACTGGGTAGCATACTAAAGATGTGGCCGAACCAGAGTTTTGTAAAGTGGTAGAGTTATAGTCTTATCTTTTGAGCAGATAACTTTTTTAATGCATGCCAATAGTCTGCTAGGATGCTTTCTTCAGCTTGGCATTGCTTGCTTTTGCTGAGCCTATGATCTACTAGGACTCCCAGAACTTTATCATCGTTGATTCCCCAGAGGTTCTCGTCCTAACAAGGAACTTGTATTCATAATTTTGAGCCCCCAAGTGCATTACATTTTGCAAAATTAAACTTCATTTAAAGTTTTCTACCCCTTTCAAGGTCTTCCTGTAAAGTAGCTATATCCTGTTGCAAAGTTATTACCATGCTTAGATCTGTGTCGTCAGCAAACGCTGAGATTGAACTACACTGTTCAAAAAAATTAAAGGAGTATAGCATCAAGTCAACTAAACTCCTCTGATATTGATCTGGTCAGTTAAGTAGCAGAGGGGGTTGTTAATCAGTTTCAGCTCCTTTGGTGTTAAATAAATTAACAGGTGCACTAGATGGGTAGCAATAAGACGACCCCCAAAATAGGAATAGTGGAGGCCACTTATAGTTTTTTCCCTACTCATATTTTCTGACTGTTTTTCACTAGTTTTGCATTTGGCTAGGATTTTGAACAGTGTATTTATACCAACCTCTATATCACTTTTTTTTTTTCTTTAACTTGCACATGATTGGGTATTTTTTGCAAAGTGAAACTATCACTAAAAACTGAGGAAAAATTCACTTGCAAAATGAACAGCCTATTTGCCTTTAGTAACAATTTTTTCCATGTGCCCCATTCATGCCACTAAGCCGGTTTAATGTATGATGCAGTACAGTCCAGAAAAATGCAGAATGTCTGCATTTTTCCACACTGCACTGGATGTCACCACGTTACCGCATAGCAGAACAACACCACGCTGCTCTGCAATCAAACGAATGAAGTGTCACTATGTGGCATTTCAAATAAAGTTAGAAAGGAAAACAAACAGAGTGTGATGCACTGAATTGTGCGTTGCATTGCTTCTTGCCGCAGCAGGCAATATACTGCATATTTATTAAACATTAAAATTCATCACGTTGAGCACATATATTGTACAGTATATTTTTACAAGGAGCAAATCCTCTAGATACATATCCTCTCTGCACCAAATGAGTTACCGTAATGGTGTGTTTATTAACTAAAAGACTTTTTCACATCTTCTGGGGACCTGATTCACATTTTGCATCTGGTCCGAATCAGTTGAGCTATACATAGATGCATTGGAATTCTTTCACAAGCATGGGTTAGCTACCTTAGATAGTGAAGCAAATTTTTACCATTTTACATGTACTGATGAAATACAAAAATGTGATGAAATATGCCATAACGCCTTCAACAACATACTTTTTTTTAAAAAAATGCTTTAACCCTAAAGAGCCCTATAGGTTTTAAAGATAGCATTTTTATTTGTAGACACCATATTAATAAATAAAAATTAAAAACCCTTTAATATTGAGCACACTTGATAAATAACGAAAAACAAGATGTGAAAAGCTATAAATAAGTGATTAAGGTTAAAAATTGCTTACACCATAGTTACCGTATTTTTCGCTCCATAAGAGGAAAACTTTTTTCCCTCCAAAAAAGGGGGGAAAATGTCAGTGCATCTTATGGAGCGAATGTAAACCGGCCGGACCGGTATTTCTGCCGCCACCATGTCAGAATACCGGGCCGGACGCTCAGCTCTTCTCTCCTGCAGGACCTTACCTGTTTCTCGCTCCAGCGCTGCAGTCTTCCCGCGGCGGCTTCTGTGACAGCCGGGTGCCCACTGCACATGCGCGAGAAGCACTGCGCTTTGTGAATGGTCCAGTGTCTTCTGGGACACGACAGGTCCCAGAAGGCTCCTGGCCATTCACAAAGCGCAGCGCTTCTCGTGCATGCGCAGTGGGCACCCGGCTGTCACAAAAGCCGCGGCGGGAGGAAGAAGGAAGGACAACTCCGCAGAAGTGGGAGCGGGTACCTGTCAAATTCAGGTGCCCGTTCCCCCTCCCTCCCCAAAGGTCCGCAGTCTCTGGTCATTCCCTGTACTATGTCCGCAGTCTCTGGTCATTCCCTGTACTATGTCCGCAGTCTCTGGTCATCTCCTGTACTATGTCCGCAGTCTCTGGTCATCTCCTGTACTATGTCCGCAGTCTCTGGTCATCTCCTGTACTATGTCCGCAGTCTCTGGTCATCTGTAGTATGTCCGCAGTCTCTGGTCATCTCCTGTACTGTGTCCGCAGTCTCTGGTCATCTCCTGTACTATGTCCGCAGTCTCTGGTCATCTCCTGTACTGTGTCCGCAGTCTCTGGTCATCTCCTGTACTGTGTCCGCAGTCTCTGGTCATCTCCTGTACGGTGTCCGCAGTCTCTGGTCATCTCCTATACTGTGTCCGCAGTCTCTGGTCATCCCCTGTACTGTGTCCGCAGTCTCTGGTCATCCCCTGTACTGTGTCCGCAGTCTCTGGTCATCCCCTGTACTGTGTCCGCAGTCTCTGGTCATCCCCTGTACTGTGTCCGCAGTCTCTGGTCATCCCCTGTACTATGTCTGCAGTCTCTAGTCATCCCCTGTACTGTGTCCGCAGTCTCTGGTCATCCCCTGTACTGTGTCTGCAGTCTCTGGTCATCCCCTGTACTGTGTCCGCAGTCTCTGGTCATCCCCTGTACTATGTCTGCAGTCTCTAGTCATCTCCTGTACTGTGTCTGCAGTCCATTGGTTCAGAATATTTTTTTTCTTGTTTTTCTCCTCTAAAACCTAGGCGCGTCTTATGGTCAGGTGCGTCTTACGGAGCGAAAAATACGGTAGTTTTAATTTAACATGATCCCTCTAAAATTCCTGAACTATATTCAAGGATACTACAGCACATTTAGCTTTATGTATGTGAATCCTAAATGTGTCTATGCTTTTTTTTGTGGATTTTCTTCTATGCTGGCCTTTTTTACACAACACTAGTCTACTATAGAGTATTAGGTCCTTGCTGCAAAAATAAGTGAAACTTTATGTATTAGCTCAACTGACTTTTTGAAAACAATAGCCTTTCCTACTAATTTTCTCATTAATTCACATTAAATTTTCATCTCTCATCAAAACACAGGATAGGTTTCTGTAGCACAATATTTATTCTTGTAATCTTTTTTAGTGGCATTATTAATATGTGTAGCACGATAGTAAACACGAGTAATGAGCTTGTGTAAATAAAAATGATAACATTTCTAATTATACAAGCATGGATTAAATGTAGAGTGGCTGTGCATATATTTGTCTAAATGCTCTGTACAAACTCACTTGTTTCAGTTGTCATTGTCCAGACAGATTTAGAGATATTTGATATGGTCTACATGGTTAGACTTGGAGTTAACTGTTTCAATGTATAATTTGTAAGACATGTATGTAATTAAATCGACCCCTTTTGTCCATTTTAGTACACAATTTTGGGACTATACATGAACATCAATCTACAGTTGGTAGGAAAAGTACTGGGGTACCCTGTATAGAAAAGCTGTAAGGGAAGGAGAGCTAGGAAGAGATTTTATTTACTTTGCTGTTTTGTTCGTAATTAAGAAAAAAAAAAAAAAAAACTGAGCTGATGCCTCCGGTAAATATTGACTAAAGGTTTTCTAATGCATTTACAAGCATCTAATTTGAAAGAAAAGTGTGCACAGGAGAACGTTTAGTATCACAATAATTAATCTGATTTATTTGCACACAAACAGAGCAAAAGTCCGTTGGCAAACAGTTAAATAGCTTACAGGAAAAAAATAAAATATATGGGCAGTATGTACTATCAATTGGCTAATTATTACAAATACTACAAAAGCAGTTTCTTATGCAATTTAGGTTTTTATAACATATAATATGGTTTGGAGACAAATGTACCATCATATATTCTGTTATTCTATCACTTATAATGAGTCCACAGCAAGAAAAAAAACCCTAGGTGACAAAAAAGCCAAAAATGAATTACATATACCATAGCAGTACTGAAAGACACATCAAGTTACTTTTCTTTGTCAAACCTGAACACAAAACTGGCATACATGTAGTGATGTTTCATACAAATTTCAGCAGATCTTACATCAGGCGCCTTTTAACAAAGCCTACTACACACAGTTACACAAAGTTAGTCCGGCTGAAAAAAGACAAAAAAGTCCATCCAGTTCAACCATTAAAAAAAAAAGTTATAATCCTACAACCATAGTTGATCCAGAGGAAGGCAAAAAAACATAGCAAAGCATGATCTAATTTGCTCATGCAGGGGAAAAACTTCCTTCCTGATCCCTGAAGAGGCAATTCCCTGGATCAACTTTACCTATAAATGTTAGTATCCAGTTAAATTCTGTGTATCGAAGAAAGAATCCAGGCCTTTTTTTTAAAGCAATCCACTGAGCTGGCCAGAACCAACTCTTGAGGGAGTCTATTCCACATTTTCACAGCTCTCACTGTGAAGAAACCTTTCCGTGTTTGGAGATTAAATTTCTTTTCCTTCAGACATAAAGAGTGCCCCCTTGTCCTCTGTGATGACCTCAGGGTGAGTAGCTCTACACCGAGTTCACTATATGAACCACTGATGTATTTATACATGTTGATCATATCCCCCCTTAATCTCCTCTTCTCAAGAGAGAATAAATTCAGTTCCTCTAATCTTTCCTCATAGCTGAGCTCCTCCATGCCTCTTATCAGTTTGGTTGCCCTTCTCTGTACTTTCTCCAGTTCCGCAATGTTCTTTTTGTGAATTGGTGCCCAACATTGAACTGCATAATCCAGATGAGGTCTTACTGATTTGTACCGGGGTAATATGATATCTCTCTCTCTGGAGTCTATACCTCTTTAATACAAGAGAGGATTTTGCTCGCTTTAGAAACCGCAGCTTGGCATTGCATGCCATTATTAAGCTTGTGATCTACCAGAACTCCCAGATCCTTCTCCACCATTGATTCCCCCAGTTGTACCCCCCTAGTATGTATGATACATGTATATTCTTAGCCCCCAAGTGCATAACCTTACATTTATCAACATTAAACCTCATTTTCCACATACCGTATTTTTCGCCCCATAAGACGCACCTGACCATAAGACGCACCTAGGTTTTAGAGGCAGAAAACAGGAAAAAAAAATTCTGAACTAATGGACTGCAGACAGTACAGGAGATGACCAGAGACTGCGGACAGCACAGGGATGACCAGAGACTGCGGACAGCGCAGGGATGACCAGAGACTGCGGACAGCGCAGGGATGACCAGAGACTGCGGACAGCGCAGGGATGACCAGAGACTGCGGACAGCGCAGGGATGACCAGAGACTGCGGACAGCGCAGGGATGACCAGAGACTGCGGACAGCACAGGGATGACCAGAGACTGCGGACAGCACAGGGATGACCAGAGACTGCGGACAGTACAGATGACTGCTGACCTTTGGGGAGGTGGGGAGCGGGTACCTGAATTTGACAGGTACCCGCTCTTACTTCCACAGAGTTTTTGTTTGATCTTACCTGTTCCTCGATCCAGCCGCGCGCGCTGTCTTCCGGCTTCTGTAATGGCACTCGGCATGACAGCCGGTGCCCAGTGCGCATGAGCGAGAAGCACTTGCGCTTTGTGATTGGTCCGGCGGCTTCTGGGATCTGTCATGTGTCCCAGGTACCACCTTACCATTCACAAAAAGCACCGCTTCTTGCGCATGTGCACTTGGCACCCAGCTGTCATGCCCAGTGCCCACACTACAGAAGCCGGAAGACAGCGCGCCGCTGGATAGAGGAACAGGTAAGATCAAAGAACAAAGAAGTAAGAGCGGGTACCTGTCAAATTCAGGTACCCGCTCCCCCCCTCCCCAAAGGTCAGCAGTCATCTCCATAATGTCCCGCTGCAGAGCTGAGCGGCCGGCCCGGTATTCTGACACGGCCGCGGTGGAAATACCGGACCGGCCGCTCCATATTCGCTCCATAAGACGCACTGACATTTTCCCCCCTTTTTTGGGGGGAAAAAGTGCGTCTTATGTAGCGAAAAATACGGTAGTTGCCCAATTAAACAGTGCATTGAGGTCGGCTTGTAAATTGAAGACATCCTGTAAGGACGTTATTCCACTGCACAGCTTGGTGTCATCTGCAAAGACTGAAATGGGATTTTTAATCCCAGACTCTATAGCGTTTATAAATATATTAAAAAGTAAGGGTCCCAACACTGAACCTTGGGGTACACCACTGACAACCCTAGACCATTCAGAGTATGAATCATTAATCACTACTCTTTGAATACGATCTTTTAGCTAGTTTTCTACCAATTTACATACAGATTTTTCCAAACTTGTAGACTTTACCTTACACATTAGCTGTGTGCGGGAAACTGTGTCAAACGCTTTTGCAAAATCCTAGTATAACATGTCCACCGCCACCCCTCTGTCCAAGATTTTGCTTACCTCCTCATAAAAAGAAATCAGATTTGTTTGACAACTTCTGTCTTTCATGAATCCATGCTGTCTGTTGCTTAAACTATTTTTTTCCAGCAAGAACTGATCTATGTGGTCTTTTATTAAACTCTCCAGTATATTCCTATATATAGGATCCTAAAACGTTGACAAAGTCCGGATGTGACGAAACGCGTCCGGGGCACGTGACGTAGTGACGCATTGACGTTTCCGGAAGTGCCTTGGTGGCCATTTTGGATTCTGGAACACATGGTTGTCCATATCCCTGGGACTTCCAGTTACCACCTGGCTCCCCTCTAGAGCTGAATGGCCATCTCTTTGGAGCTATCGCTAAGTATCGTTGCTGTATATACAGCTTTATGACTTGGAAGCTGATTTTATCGGTTTTTAATGTAAGTTGCTATAATAAAATTTGTGTGTTATTTGATTCAAACGCTGATCCCTGGTCTATTTATGAGGTCTATGGGAAGTGTCTGGAGAAGATGATGTCATTGGGAGGAAAATCCATTCTTACTATGGATTCTATGCTGGTTTCATTTATTTTAGTGTTTATATTTTTTTTGAAGTATATGAAGAGTATCTGGGATTCATCATCGATCTTCATTAGGATCTGAATCAGTGTGTATCTACCTACCAAGATTGTGGACTTAATCTATTTCGTTTTTTTTGGGACTTTGGGTTGAATTATTATTGATTTATTTAAGTCTGTTTTATATGTTTTATATTATATAATATGTTCACTTTTTGAATTGAATTACTGAAATAAATTAACTTTTTGATGATATTCCAATTTATTGAGATGCACCTGTATATAGGAGCTGTTTTCTCTGCCAGATTTGAATTCTTGTCCATTCCAGTCATGAGATTTACACAGCTGTCACACAGCACAGCCCAGTCTTAAAGAGCAGGGGACCTGATTTTTTGCTACTACTGTCAATTTACTACCTCAGCTTGACTCCACATTAAAAGGATATTCAGCATATTGATGAGTTCACTTGTGTCACTGTCCAATTTCTTTTGATAGCATGTTGTCATAGCAACGGTGTGTCACTCAATTGGCAGTGCATCCACCCACCGCTGAACCTCCGCTGATTCCCCCATCCACATGTTGCCGTACACTGCGTCGGCTGCTAAGCCGCTGGGAGCGCTCCTCTGCGGGCTTGTGGTTTGACAGCCTGTGTGAGTGTAGGTCCACAGTGCAACAGACATATAAGCCAACTACCGATTTACCATACGGGCAGTGAGGAGATGGGGAAATAGATGTGTACAGCGTGATGCCGATGTACTGGATGATACGCCCAACACATGGCTATAATTGTGAACGCATATCTACTTATGCTTTTTCAATTTAATAAAGGTAACTGCATTAAGAGCCTTTGCGCTCTTTTTCCTTTGTGTCTCCTTCAGTTTTCAGTGTCCTGCTGGTCCAGAGAGTGGCAAGGCTTCCCTGGATTCAGTTTCCTTATTGATTCAAATTGCTAAACAGTGGACTCTGGACTAAGTTAAGCAGGTCACCCATGGCAGTACCGCATGATACTATTATATTGTGTTTACAAAGTATATACAGTATTTAATAACCTATTAATGAATTCAGAACTACAATAATTTGTGTCTTTGGGCTTTTTCAGACAGGCGGCTGGGAGGCAGTAAAAACAGGCTGCTAAGCCATGGTTTTACGCCCCCCCCCAAATTGTAACAATATAGCTGGACAGGGCTATACACATGCCACAGTCGCGATGCCATGGCATTTTTAAGTCGGGGTAGGGAGTTTGACTGGAAACACCACCTGTCAAATTCACCCATTGAGTTCAATAGAGCCGCTGCTCCCGGTTGAGGCATGGTAAAACCATTTATTCTCTTAGGTTTCCTTTTTGTAAGACCAGTGGCTGCTATGCCTCCTATTCCCCCAGCCACTGTTCTTGGAACATCCGTCTTGTAGCTCTTTCTCCAGGAAGCAGTGATGTAATTCAGCCCCACTTGCTGTGGTGGGCGGACCAGGACTGTCAGACACATTGAACATGTACAGGCCTAGTGTACCCGCCCACATTCATTATAATTTTCTGTAGGTGATGGAACTGTAGTTTCCTTTTACTGCAGAGAGAGAGGAGAGGCCATGTAATCCCGGCTGTTACACATACTCCTTGGCAGAGCAGTTGCTGTTATCTTTTGAATTACAGAGATGAGGTCATGAAAATTCAATTAGACTTTTCTCCTCAAAGGTAAGGATATTGAAAATTGTATTAACGGTTAGTGTTTTGTGTAATTGTACTAATGGGTGATTTTTTTGCCTGTCACAGAGTTCTTTTTTAAAGGCAAATTTGTCTTTATTAAAAATAAAAAAAAAATATAAACCATATAAATGCTGCGCTACATTCAAACTTATTTAAGTGAATGTGGAATCCAATAACAAAAAAAATAGTGACAATAATAATGAAAATAAATAATATGTGCTTAATGAAACAAAATTACCAAATAAACCACCCAAACTGATGAAAAAGCACAAACTTAAATCTATACGTATGTGCATGAGAAATACACATACATATATTACATCACACGTGCACAATGTGAAGTGAAATGATGACTAAAATAATAAACGCAAACTCAAAGTCCAATAATGAAATGTTTTGAAGGTGAAAAACTGTAAACGGTGTTTCCAATATACTGTAAGGTGACCACAAGTGAAACAAATTGTGCAGATATCTGGGTGTAGATAGAGCTTATGAATCCAACCACCTTCTGGATTAGCCTCTCACCTCATCACTTCGACCCTTGCGGGTCAAAGAGCAGTAATGGATCCCTCTCACAGATCCTCCAGGCACCACAGCACTCCAAAACCACTTTTCAGGATTTAGTATTCCCATTCACAGGCTCTTTTGTATAGGTGAAATATCAATTTCTCAGAACAAAAAAGAGGAATCCTCCCATAGTGTAGTATGTTTATTATACATAGGAACATAAAATCTTTGGTAAAATTGCACTTACGTAGCAGCCAGTCCACATTAGACCCTCATGCTCTCAGATGAGGATATATCTATGTTTGTTGGGTGTACAGCTGAATACACAGGTGTAACAAGATGGCCGCCACGCCGGAAATACGTCACCGCGCTACGCCGACGCGTTACGTCACAATGTCACGTGACTTCATCAGGGCTGTCAATCACAGTGACGATAGCTCTTTATATACCCGGCCAGGATAGATTCTATCTGTGGTTCCTTCTATCCTGGCCGGTATATAAAGAGCTATCGTCACTATGTGATTGACAGCCCTGATGAAGTCACGTGACATTGTGACGTAACGCGTCGGCGTAGCGCGGTGACGTATTTCCGGCGTGGCGGCCATCTTGGTACACCTGTGTATTCAGCTGTACACCCAACAAACATAGATATATCCTCATCTGAGAGCATGAGGGTCTAATGTGGACTGGCTGCTGTACGTAAGTGCAATTTTACCAAAGATTTTATGTTCCTATGGTATAATAAACATACTACACTATGGGAGGATTCCTCTTTTTTGTTCTGAGAAATTGATATTTCACCTATACTTGGAGAAGAGCCTGAATGGAAATACTAAATCCTGAAAAGTGGTTTTGGAGTGCTGTGGTGCCTGGAGGATCTGTGAGAGGGATCCATTACTGCTCTTTGACCCGCAAGGGTCGAAGTGATGAGGTGAGAGGCTAATCCAGAAGGTGGTTGGATTCATAAGCTCTATCTACACCCAGATATCTGCACGATTTGTTTCACTTGTGGTCACCTACAGTATTATTGGAAACACCGTTTACAGTTTTGTTCACCTTCAACATTTCATTATTGGACTTTGAGTTTGCGTTTATTATTTAGTCATCATTTCACTTCACATTGTGCACGTGTGATGTAATATATGTATGTGTATTTCTCATGCACATACGTATAGATTTAAGTTTGTGCTTTTTCATCAGTTTGGGTGGTTTATTTGGTAATTTTGTTATCATTAAGCACATATTATTTATTTTCATTATTATTGTCACTATTTTGATTTGAGTTATTGGATTCCACATTCACTTAAATAAGTTTGAATGTAGCGCAGCATTTATATGGTTTATATTTACTTGATCACTGGTATATGATTTAATGCTAGCAGCTGTTTGGGGTTCATATATTAATTTAGTTTGTTTTAAACACACATTTGGAGCGCAGGAGGGTCACACCACTATTGCTAAAATTTGTCTTTATTATTACGTTTTTTGCAGCAAACTTTACAGAAGAAAAGGAAAGCGACAAGCATAACATGTACAAATAATCAAACAGAAATCTAGAACATAAAAACGAT